AATTTGTACTCTGTGCTATTGACAGTAAAACTGGAAGCAGAGTTGGTTACTCGACCTTCTTCCAAGCTGAAGATGCATGTGTTTCATGGGATTAGAACAAAACTTCAGGGAATTCCCTGCACTTTTATAGTTGCTCTTCTCAAATGGACGAGTGCCTGAATAACCCTATCTGATGCTGCTCGTGCTTGTGAACTAGGATGTTTTCTGATCTCGTGTCATCCGTGCCCCTGGTGACACGTGCACATCTTCCACCATTTGGTAATGACAGCTCATGCTTCCACTGGAGGCAGGAAAGTCAAGTTGTTTTCCACTGTGTATGTAGAAGGTATAACCATTTGAGATTATCTTTGCTGTCTGTTAGCCACACATCATCATCTTTTGCTGTTTTCCTTATTTCTTCTTCCTCTTCCTCTTCTCCTTTACTGTGATGTGGATTTCTGTCTGCTCTTCCTTGTGTGCAAGTCTTTGCATATGCAATGAAAGTAAGTTGAGGCTGTCAGGTGAGGAGAGGAAGGAAAACAACAGATGGGATGGATAAGAAGAGAAATGGGAAGAGCAGTGGTGGCCAGAAAGGAGTGAGTAGAGGTTGCACTTGCTGACTCATAGCTATGATTCAGCCATGTATGTTTTTGCATGGTATTGCAGATGAAGCCTTGCACTTGTCTTATGCAGTGGTACTAACACCACCTTTCTTTGGCTGGTTCTTCTGCACTCAGTTGTTTATCCACCCCTCACTCTCAATAGATCATTAATATGGTGATGAACCATATGTCAGTCCTTCTGGTTGTTTCCTACTGATAAAACTGTACAGGATTATTTTTATCTTCCTATTGTAGTCATGAGGTCATCCATTTCTTCCTGTTTGATGTTTTCTTTTATTCATGTTTCTTAACGTGTCACAGCAAATGACATGAGCATGCTCCTGCTTTTTGTGCTAGGGTTACAAGGCCACCTTGTGCCAGGTGAAGAATCTCCCAAATGACCCCTCTCTTGACTCAGTCTAGAGTTGCGTGCAGGTTGTTGGTGTCGGGTTAGTGGGTCTGTGACAGCAGGACCGGGGGGCATTGCTGGGAGGTTCAGCTGTGGATCTGGCGGGTGTCAATCTCGCCTGGACCAAGTGATGGCTGTTGATTTGTTCCAGGAGATCTTGTGGCATTTGTTTTGTAGCATCCTTCTTGGGTGTTGCTTGAGTGTGCGGCTTTAGGAGTCAGTTTGGCATGCTTGCCCTGCAGCCTGGCCTGTACTTCTCTGGTCTTTGCCTCTCCTGTAGGCTGAGACGGGGAATTGAGGATTACCCCTGTCGGGAGCATCTGGACTGACCTGGGCATGTAGCCTTCTGCTGCCAGGTCCCTGGGTACAGCGGGGTGGAAGAAGTCCCCTCGGTGAGGTGGATGATGGTTCTCAGCCCTAGGGAGGGTGGAGCCCTGCGTTTCTGCCATGGAGACAGTCTTGTTTGAGGGGGCTGGCTTTGCATCCCAAACAGTGCCAATGGCTAATGCTTGAGAAAACATCAGAGATCTTTGTGCTGGGCCAACTTGGTTAGTACATTTGAAAAAGCCAGCTGCTTCACATAAAGCTCGTGTCCAGCTGTGTTGCAGATACAAAGTCTGACTGGCACGGTCAAACCTCATCCCTGAATTTTGTCAGAAAGCTGCTGTTTTGGGTGACATAGCAAAGGTGCTTTTTTGAGTCTAGGTTTGGGTTTCTCCCCCTGCAGTCAGGACAGAGAGCTGGCTCATGAGGCCACAGTTATTCTGAATCCTTTGGTATCGGCGTGTGAAGTCCATAGCTGTCTGAGTTGGGCATCTTGTTTTTTCCCTGTGACACCAGGGTTTGAAAATGTGCCTTCAGCCTTCAATTCTGAATTGTTTGGTTAGGTCTTCTCTAAGGCTGATAGCAGCCTAAGTTGCGGAAGTCATATGGAGGCAGTGGTAGTGCCAGCCAACACAGTCTGGGCTTTAGTGTACTTTCAGGTGTCAGCTAACTTTGGGAGCTATGATTATTAATGAACTTGAAAACTTTGCTTAGAAGTTTCTGGGTTTGGGGATGTACCTGCTTTCAGAACCCTTTCGGGAGCCAAAGAGATCAGGCTATCTTACAGGAAAAGATATCTTGTTTTCTTATGGAAATAATTTCCCGCTGTCAGCCCTTCACTAAGTCTTAAACCTGTTGGTCAATTTGAGGCAGCAGTGATGATGGGGAAGAGTCCTGGAAGTGTGTTTGCTGACTCCTTATGTTTTTCTACTCCCTTTCCCTTCTGCTCAACTTGCACCTAAGATCTTGTTAGTCTTCTGAGGGAGAGGCAGGAAGGGTTTGAGTCTTACCTGTTCTGTTTTTGGCAGCAGCTGCCTCATCAGTCACCGTACGTGTATTCGTTGCAGTTCAGACATGGCAGGGGTGGTGCCAAAGGAGACAGAGGAAAGGAAGCTTTTTTAGTTCTGCCTGATTGTTGCATAGTTTGTTTACCTGCTGTGTGTAGAGATTTTTTTCATTGCTCTCTTACTGCTGTGTGATTATGGTTATTGCTTGTGTGTGGAATGGGGGGGGGGGGGGGGGGGCGTCGGGGAGTTTACTTTTTT